ACTCCCTAGGGAGACAGACGGTGGAAGCAGAAAATGTTTGTTTCAAGAACATAGTAGATTTCTGTGACAAAATAATAGTGGTTCCCAATATTTTTAGTTGTATTTCTGCTTCCCAACATTTAGTTTTTCTTTTTCAACTCTACAGTGAAGTGAATTGAGACCAGACGGCTCTGCCCGCAGTTTGCTCCTGTTGTAGGGAATGCTAGAGTGCTCCCAGATTGTAATCTGCCCTGTATTGCTGGCAGCACAATAGCCCTGTGTTTTAAATCTGTACTTTGCTTGCAGAGGCCCTATATTTACAGCATGTAGAGAGCGCTCTGAGAGACAGTGTGACCAGGATTGAAGCTGTTTCTGGGTGTGTAACAGGCTGTGATCTGCCCCCAAGACTCTCGGTGCCCCCGGGGTCCACGTGAGAGAGTTTGATTTTCAGATTGTGTAAACAGGCGACTGTTTCAGAATCAAACAGAAAAATGGCTGCAGACTGAAATCTCTGATAAATTAGTTTGGAGTTTTACTCTTTTATCCTACTCTAATTTAGTACATTTTGCTCTTGTTTATCACAGGAATCAAGAGCATCCTTCCTAGAGGGGCCCAGGGAGGAAACTGTGAGGAAGGAAAGCTTGCAGTGTGTTGGTAGACTGGAACTGTTGGTTCTGTGGGGAAGGGGTTCCAGGGGCAGAGCAGTGCAGTGGAATGTCAGGAATGCTCCACATGTAGTGCTTCTGGAAACAGGTTGGCTCTGCAGGCACTGTGCCCCCTGTAGAACAGTTTAGGTATTGCAGGTACCTGGGGGTATTGGTATTTCCTGTCAACTCCTTTCAAATCTTCAGTGTTCTTCAAAGACTGCAAGCAGTCTGCTCTGGTTTGGTGACTGATTCAGTAATACACATTGTATGTGGGTTACCCTGAATGTGCTGCACATTGATTCCCATTGTCCTCGAGTGGTGATGAAGCAAAAGGTTTGGATGTTTCCTGCCTTCATTCACCACTTGTGAGTGAGGAGGATCCCAGAATTAGCAGATGTGAATCAACTCTGTGTGTTGTAGAAAGTGGGTTTCAAATTAGTGAGCAGTGATAGATAGGCAGGGAGGTGTGGAGCACAGGCTACCTCCACACAGTATTGGAATTGGTTAAGGAGCATTGTTTGATCAGTTGATTAGTAAGCCCTGATAATGTAGCTGGTGTTAAGATGACTGGAATGTTTGTCTCAACTGCAGGTGCAAAGTGAGTTTCAGCAGCTCATTTTAAACAGTTAGGTGGGAGACTGGACAGATTGTTAAGATAAACCAACCGGCTAGATCGACTCCTCGTTTATTCCGCCCCTAATTGGTGCCTTTCTACGTCTGTTTGGAATAAGCAGTAGTGAATGTGCTGTGCCTCTGGGGAGTGATTATCACTGGCCTGGGCTATCTGCTTACTCTCGACTGGAGCTAAGCTTTGGATTTGCATTGCAATAGGCTTCATTCCATTTTGAAATAGAAATGTGACTTCACATGAAGGAAGACATTTTTACTAAAGTCACCACATTTTCACTAAGGTCACAGCCTGGAGACCCAGAGATGATCTGTTTAGCCATATTGGTGGTGAGACCAACCTGCAATTTAGAATATTACAGATAAAAGACACCGGTGTCCCTCAATCTACTTTGGCTTCAGGTTTGTGCTTGGTGCCTATGACCTCCAAACCATGCCATCCTCCTCCCCCAACGCCCTCTGTGGGACTCCACTCTCCTGATTCGAATTTTACTTGATCCACAACCATAATTTAGTCTCCGCAAACGGTTTCTCCTCCCTCCCCCGCATCACCAGTAGCCTACCCCAAGGCTCTAAACTTGGCCTCCTTTTTCTCCTTTACATACAACCTCTCGGTGATATTATCTGCAAACATGGGGTCAACTTCCACATATGTGGAATGTCACCCTAATCTCATTTTCCTCCTCCAGCCATGAGCAAGTGTTCTGTCAGCTTGCTTGTCAAGACATCTTTCTGCAGCTCAATGTTGACAAAACAGAAGCCATCTTCCTTGGATCCTGTCAATGTCTTCTCACCTGCAGCTCCAACAAACAGACAAACAAAATTACATTTATAAAGCGCCTTTCACAGTAGGAGGACGTCCCAAGGCGCTGGACAATCAGTGTTTTGGACCCAAGCTGGGAGTCTGATCGGGGAGGGTGGAGGCCGGGGGGGGGGGGGGGCACGGAGGGTGACCAAAGGCTTGATTGAAGGGGAGGGTTTTGAGACGAGTCTTGAAGGAGGCAAGGGAGGGGGGAGGCAGTGGAACTGCAGGATGGAGTTCCAGAGGGTTGGGGCAGAGTGGCTGAAGGCCCGCTGAGCGGAGGGAGCGGGTGGGTTGGTAGGGGGTTAGGAGATTGTAGAGGTAGGCCATGGAGGGCTTTGAAAGTGAGGACCAAGATCTTGAATTGTTTCGTCTGTGTGATGGGAAGCGAAGCAAGTTGGATGAGGGTGGGGGCGATAGGGTCACAGAGCCAGGTGCGAGAGAGGACATGGGCTACAGAGTTCTGGATGATCTGCAGCCTGTGGAGTCCTGTAGCTCAGTGGTTAGAGCACTCGCTTTGCAAGTGAGAGACCTCAGTTCAATTCCAGGCAGAGGGCGAAACCTTGGGCAAGTTTCCTTACTCCACACACCTAATAATAATCCCTCCAAAAAAAAAACAATAATAAATTGGTCATTTTCAATCCATGACTGTTTGTGGGACATTGCTGTGCGCAATTGGCTGCCGCATTCGCCCACAAATATACAGTCAATTCACTTTACAGTATATTCTGTGAAGCACTTTGAGACGTCGAGAAGACGTGAAAAGCGCAATATCAAATGCAAGGATTATTATTATTATTGGGGAGGCTAACAAACGGAGTTGGCGTACTTGAGCCTGGATGTTATGAATGGATGTATGAGGGTCTTGGCGGCCTGGGGTGTGAGACAGTGGCAGAGCCGAGTGGTGTTGCGAAGGTGGGGAAAGGCGGAGCGGGTCATGGCATGGATGTGGGGTATGAAGGACAGTTGACGCCGAACAGGACAATGAGGTTCCGTATTGGCTCCGTGAGACTTCCCCAGCCCCTCACTCAGACTCACTGTATCTGTATCTGATCTTGGCATCAGGTTTGATTCCCCCATTGTCCTTCCTACCCCACATCCAGTCCCTGACCAGAACTACTTTCCTTCACCTACATCACATCAGCCATCTCCGACCATACTACATACTCAGCCAAAACCCTCAGTCACGCATTCATCACCTCCCACCTCATGTTTTCCTTTGCCGGTCTTCCCAGCTCCACAATTCATAACAACAACAACTTGCATTTATATAGCGCCCCACACACAGGGTAGCTCCCCAGAGTGCTTGCCAGTGGCGGAGCATGACTCCAAGCTGTCATAATATCCAATTAATAAAATCTCCATCACCCATATCCTCACCTGTACTAAACTCTGCACCCCCATCATTCCAGTGGGAAAATATTATGAGGCTCCACTGACTCTGTATTGCAGAATGGATCGATTTCAAAATTCTCACACTCGTGTACAAATCACTTCATGGCCCAGCGACTCCCTACCGTTCTGATCTGCTTTTACCCATTTTTATACCCGCTCCCTTTGCTTAGTTGGATTTGTCTACCTGCTCAACCCTCGTCTCCTCCACTCCACCATCAGTGGCTTAGCTTTCAGCCTCTGTGCCCTGAGACTCTGGAACTTTTTGACTCAGCCCCTCTGCCTTGCCCATCTTCAGATAACACCTGAAGACTTTCCTCTTCAACTGTACCTACAATCACCTCCCCTGTCTTCCTGGCTCGGTGTCAAGCTCTGCCAATGTTAAGTGCCCTGTGTGAAGGGCACTGTATAAATGCATTTAATTGTTGGTACAAGAGGTTACAATGCTGCAGGTCTTTAACCAGACCAGACTCTGGGTTTCGCGAGCTTACATTTTCAGGGTCTGTAATTTATCCTACTTTTGTACTAATCTTTTTCTATTCAGCTGATTTTGAGTCTGTAGATTTAACTGCTTTTGGCAATAAAGATCTTTCAGTGCGCTGGGCAGCCTGCGAGCTCCCCCAATTTCTATAGAAGGATTCAGCGCAGATTTTGGTAACTGGGAGGAAGGGCCTGCAACCAGATGTTACTCGCAGCTTATTAATACACTTTAGCATTTCAGGGGTGTAATTATAGGGCTTGAATGGAGCTAAATGTGGTGTTGGTTGGTCAATGTGAATCTCCCAAAGGAAGTCTTTGCAGCCAATCAATGTGGTGCTGGGAACTTGCAGACATTGTGGTGAGGAGAGTGTGGAGAGAATGTGAGGGGAGTGTGGAGGGAACGTGAGGGGAGTGTGGGGGGAACGTGAGGAGTGTGGAGGGAACGTGAGGGGAGTGTGGGGGGAACGTGAGGGGAGTGTGGGGGGAACGTGAGGGGAGTGTGGAGGGAACGTGAGGGGAGTGTGGGGGGAACATGAGGGGAGTGTGGAGGGAACGTGAGGGGAGTGTGGAGGGAATGTGGGGGGAACGTGAGGGGAGTGTGGGGGGAACGTGAGGGCAGTGTGGGGGGAACGTGAGGGGAGTGTGGGGGGAACGTGAGGGGAGTGTGGAGGGAACGTGAGGGGAGTGTGGGGGGAACGTGAGGGGAACGTGAGGGGAGTGTGGAGGGAACGTGAGGGGAGTGTGGAGGGAACGTGAGGGGAGTGTGGAGGGAATGTGAGGGGAGTGTGGAGGGAATGTGAGGGGAGTGTGCAGCGAGAGCATTCTAGGCAGTGTGTAGGGAATGCAGTTAGCACTTCAGCTCACCATAATTTTGAACGCTGCAGAATATAATCAGAATACCTGCTGATCTCCATCAAGAAGCTGGGATTTATGGACATATCCTAGTAATAAATCCTGCTAATCCCCTGCGGATATGGTCTGACTGAAGCCACAGGGCAGATAGACACTGAGTAGGTTTCTAATTGAAGCTAAGGGAGTGTGGTGAATCTTTCCTTTTCTCTTCCCTTTGCTAGGTGTGCTGGTGGTCAATGTGACCTGGCGGAATAAGACGTATGTGGGAACCCTGTTGGACTGTACAAGACATGACTGGGCACCACCAAGGTGAGCAGGGGAACCCGCACGGACAGGTTTTAATCCTCTCCAAAGTAGTTGCATGCTGAATTGGCAGCCGTGTATCACCTCTGGCGTTCCTCGGGGGAGAAGGTTCTGCCTCCTGGGGAGGTAGCTCACTGGTGACACGTCAGGCTGTCTCCACAGAGGGAACGCCTCACACTGAAATGGAGCGAAAGCTCCAGAGATTTCAAAAGACAACTGGGTCTGACTATTTGACTGTTCGATTGATTCCAGTTTGATTTACATATTTTCATGCACTGACAAAGTGAAGCCTCGGGAGGTACATCCTATTGGAGGTGACTGCTTGGGTTGCTCTGACTCTCACATGCTCTGTTTTGTAGGAGTTTTATAGGTTCAGCATATGTACACAAAGATGTCAGCTGATCAGCTCTGAGGCTAACTGCTGGGAGGTCAGTATAGAAAGAAAAGGGCCTTATTTCTGAATCAGTCACTCCCAACACATTCACTAAAGGCCAGCTCCAGATGCCCAGCAATGCTTTCATCCCACAATCACTGCTGACGCTTGTGCTGACAGCAGTAAGACAGAGCACCTCTCCCTTGTGTAAGCGTGATGTATGTCTGGTACAAGACATGGTGGCCAAATACAGTTTGAAGGGGAGGAAAATTAACATGATCTTAGAATTTTTAAAAAAAGAAATCAGTGGGTTTCTGCCACAACCCTGTTATATTCCTAATACCATTAATTCCATTCTGTTGATAAAATGATCAATTGTGTAGATTGAAAGCAGGATCCAAACCTGTTGATGCTGCAGCGATAGGCAGAATCATAGAATATTACAGCACAGAAGGAGGCCATTTGTCCAATCATGCCTGTGCCGGCTCTTTGGGAGAGCTACTCAATCAGTCAGTCCCACTCCTCCGCTCTTTCCCCACATCCTTGCAAATATTTTATGAGTAAGTTTGAATTATTCCTGTGTTTGTTGCTGCCATTGGGTGCTTTGTTGAAGCCCAGTGGAAAATTAAGTAATCAAGTGAATTTAAGTGTTTAGCTTTACACTGAGGATAATTAACATATGGGGGCAGATAATGTGGGCAATTTCTAGAGAAAATTGATCAAATTGTTGGTGGCTAAGGGATTTGTGAAACAAGCTGCTCTCCTCAGTGCTCCTTCGTTTGTTTCAACCCATGTTGAAATCAGAGGTTTGAGCCCCTTTTGTGTGAGATGTACCAGTGGGACATTTGGTGACTTGACAATTTGATTATCTGTGTATCTCACACTGACCAGGCAGCCATAATATCACCACCATCCTGGTCAGAGCTGTGTTTATCCGTATTCTCAACATGTTTTTTCTGCCTGTGTAAGTGAGAAAACCAAACACTCTAACTCTGTGGGCAAACACATGACCCACTCTCACTTCCTTCTCATGACAGTGCGGCTGGAACTGGTAACTCACACGTGGGAAACGGCAGCCAAAGATCTCTCAGGTATATTTAACTTCTTGTTTTACGTTTGATGCTGGATTTGATAGCTAAGTGCAAACTGTTGGTATTTCCACAATAATAACCTCATTTTCTTTTGGGGCTACATTAGGCTGGGAAGTGGGTTGATTTGTGGATTTATTATTCCTTCAAGTCACTCGGGGACATTTTCAACCTGAAAACCTGATTGTGTTCAAGTCACTGCAGTAATTGAGTTTTCCTTTCATCCCTTTTCCAGATTTTGTGAATCACCGACGAGCGATCTTGAAATGCGAGGAAACAATCGGGGGAGGGGGAAACGTGTGCGCCCCAACCCCAATCCCCCCGTTGCTGAGAGCAGTGTGGTGTCAGACAGCAAGGCTGTGAGCAACAAAACTCGGGCATGTACGAGCAGTAAAGGGCGTCGGGGCAGCCAGAACTCTTCTGAAAGACGCACCCCAACAAACACTGTGGAGGACATCAAGGTGAACCCATCATCAGGAAGCAAGCGGAAAAACAAGCCATCTCCCGACCTGGACTTGACCTCCAGTTCTGAGGATTCTAAAGGAGGGAAAAGGATGCGTTCCAACTCTCGTGGTACTCCAACACCAGTTCCAGGGGTGAAGATTGAACCTTCTGTACCTGAGCATAGTTGCCCATCGCCTGTCCTCATAGACTGCCCACATCCCAACTGCAACAAGAAATACAAACACATCAATGGGCTACGCTATCATCAGGCTCACGCCCACACTGACAGTGACGGGAAGCTCGAGGGAGATGCTGACAGTGAGGAAAAGAACTCGGACACAGAGGACTGTGCACCAAATCCTTCACTGAACCAGGATTCAAGCAGTTGCAATGGATCCTCCAGCTCTCATGCATTCTGTCAGTCAAAGGGCTCCGTGTCGCCAGCTCGCTCTATCACACCCAAAGGGAGGAGAGAGGGAAGCCTGGAGGCCCACAGCCCTTCCTCCACAACAAAGAGCAGCGCTGGGAAGAGTTCTAGCAAGAGGAAGACCTCAGCGGACATTGATGCGGAGTCTGGTGGGCTGTACAATCCTGACTGTTCAGAAGAAGGTCCCCCAGTTGGTAGCCCAAGTGATGATACTGGAAATGATGGGGACGAGTCGAGTGAGAAGAAGTCCCTCTTAGAGAAGGATAAAGCAAGGAAGTCCAGTAGTTCTAAACTGGAGAAGATTACTTTGAAAACAAAATCTGCCAGGCCCATTGTGCCGGCCTTACCAGCACAGATATACAGTTTCCCTGCAGCCACTTTCACTACATCTGGCCCCCCGGGGTCTGCTCCTGGGCTGACCACCACTGTTGTCCAAGCCATGTCCAAAAGCCCCCCACTCAAGCCCATTCAGCCCAAACCCACCATCATGGGAGAGCCGTGTACAGTGAATCCAGCCCTTACCCCCTTGAAGGAGAAGAAGAAAAAAGAGAAAAAGAAGAAGGATCCAAAAGAAGCGACGAGTCCCAAACCGCCGGGCAAGGGAGGGAAGGCCGAGGGCGGCAAGAGCCCTTTTAGAGAATCTGGTGCTGAGGCCATGTCCAAAGGCGAGGGCCTTCTGAATGGTTCCTCTGACTCCCACGAGAGTCGTTTGGCCAGTATCAAGGCAGAAGCTGACAAGATCTACAGCTTCACTGACAACGCCCCAAGCCCATCCATAGGCAGCTCCAGCAGGTTAGACGGTGCTGGCCTGGCCCCTCCCATAACTCCACTGCACGTGGTGACACAGAATGGGGCTGACAGCTCGTCAGTGAAGACTAACAGTCCAGCATATTCGGACATTTCTGATGCTGGTGAGGATGGAGAGGGAAAGGGAGATGGTGTTAACAAAGTCAAAACCTCCTCTCCAGACCAGATAGTGAAGGAATGTGCCAAGAAAGCCCTCTTTTCTTCATCATCGTCCTCTTCCTCCTCGTCTTCATCATCTTCCAGAACTCAACCAACATTGAACAAGGAAACTCATTCTCCTTACTACCCGGGCTATGATACTTACTACTCTCCAAGCTACCCCCATGCCAGCCCAGGGCCTCCTGCGGGCACTGCACCCCCGGGGAGCCATCCCACTAAAATCAAGAAGGAGATGGATGAAGAGACCATGGAACCCAGAGTCAAAGTTGAAAGTATGGAGGACAAAAAAAGCGAAATGGCAAGTGCAGGTCACCACCCCTCAGTGATCCAGCAAAGGTCTCAGATGTTCATGCAGCCGCTGTACTATGGGCAGTACACTTACATGCCCCAGTACGGCTACAGTGATCAGGGCTACCACAGCCACATGATGAGCACAAACCCAACATACAGACAACAGTACGAAAAAATGTGTGAGGAGCAACAGAAGCAAAGGCAGGAGCAGAGCCGCGGGAAACACCATGTCAACGAGGCGGACAAGAAACAAGAGCAGGGCATGAAGGACAGAGACAGGGAGGAGTGGAAGCAGAAGTCTCCAGCTCCAGCCACACTGTCGAAAGCTCCCAGCTTGACAGACTTGGCCAAACCAGTGCCCAACAAGGCCAAAGACTCAATGGACTCCTTGAAATATACCATTGTGACTAAAGCAGAGGAAGCCTCGAAGCTGCATTCCCAGCAGGCTGAGGGCCTCAAGATGAAATTGAGTGAGGCCAGCCACCTCTGCCGGGAGCTGTGTGAACCAAAACTGGCGCCAGAATCTGGCAAATCTCCCGGAATGGATCTCGCGCTGTGGTACAGACAGGTAGGAACCGAACTCCAAACAAAGCCTGATGTTTCCTAATTGATCACTAATATCATGTTCAAACCGTTTGGGCTTCGTCCGTGTGACCTCTCGGAGCATTCATGTGACTGTATAATGTGATAGAGCGACGTTGGTCATTATTGGAGCCAAGAGAAAATTGCGGAAATATTTTGCCAGAAGTTATGGGGGGGATTTGGCAACTTTTGTGAAAAATTGCGAGGAGTTGATTAGTGTTTTTGAGAGGCATATTTTACTGCCTCCCTACATATTATTATTGATAAAAACTAAACATGAAGAAATAACACATAACAGATGGTTGCAAAAAAATATTAATACTGTCTTTAACAAAAAAAATTAAAACTGATGGTGGATAGTGAGGGGGGAAGGCCTAGCCTAAATGGTCAGTTCCACTCCGCACTACATTTGAAGGTCTGGAGTTCCACTGAACACCAGCTTTACCAAGCTCACAGGTGTTTTGGCTACATCTCCTGCCATTCGGGGCCTAACACTGGACACTCCCACCCAGAGAGAGAGACATACACACATGGAAGGACACACACACACACACACACACATACCGAAAGACAGACACACACACGTCACACAACCGCAGAGAGACAAACACACACACTCACAGAGGGACACACATGCAGAGAAAGACGCACACACAGAGACACACACACTACACAGCCATAGCGAGACAAACACACACACACATACAGAGGAGAAATACCCAGACAATCTCAACAGCGGGCCTCGTGGTGAATGAAGCCCAATTCCTGCCTTCCGCGCCCCCCGCTCTGTGTCCGCGCATCTGGAGTCCACAGTAGTGGCAAGGCAATGTAGAGCAAACAGCAGCGCGGACCGGCCCAGGACTGAGCACACTGTGTGTTTACAGGTCTTAGTGAAGGTATGTGGTGGTGGTGGGGGGGTTGTAGTGGAGGGTGTTTCAACGGATTCCACAGAAAAATTGAGTCACTTTTCTATTGACCCAGGGCATTCTGAAATGTTAAGCTGATGTTTTACAGACTCAGCACCTTCTGCTGAAAATACTTGCAAATTGTTAAATTGTGACTGTCCTCCTGACTCTATAAATGGAATCTTGTTGTTGTTGTTGTAGATCAAACAGACAGGATGTGATTGTCTTGGTACAGCTTCCTCTGATTGCAATGATGAATAACCTGCTTGATCTGCAAAATCGAGCACAAAACCATTGAAGAGCTGAAAGCAAATCAAAATGTTACAGCGTTACATAGGCTGTTTTTGAGTCTTCACTGCATTGTGTGAGGGATATCATAACCAGCCCAAGTTCCTGTTTGTGACTTATGTCAGAAAGAAAGTTATGTGAACAGATGCGCAATAAAGCCAGGATTGATTTTATCTGTGATCCCAGCCCTCCCCTTTCTTTCTTCCCCACCCCTCCCACCCCATAGTCCATAGTCTGCCAACGCTCGACGCTCAAATAAGAAGAATGCACACTTTGTGAGGTAGTGAAAGATTCCCCAGTAAAGGCTTCCTCTTTCGGGAGAGCCGGGAGAAGCTGTAGACTGTCCTTGAGCCAGGCCAAGCGAACTCGGTGCGAATGAAATTAAATGAGGTAATTCTATGGATTTTAGACATTTATACTCTAAATTACTTACAGTAATCAATTTCATGTCTCCCTTTATTCCAATTGCTACAGCTGGTTGATTTCAACTAAATGTCGGTTTAGAAAATATCTATTTTAATAGGAAAGTACAAGAAGTATTAGATTTGTGTGGTGTCAAATCCTGATGAATGCTCAAAGCTTCAGTTCTCACAGGCTCCGAGGAGGGAGGATGGGGGGAGTGTACACTACAGAGCAGCCACTTAGCAAACAGTAAGATATCATCTTTCATAGAATATTACATATTACAGCACAGAAGGAGGCCATTCAGCCCATCGTGCCTGTGGCGGCTGTTTGGAAGAGCTGCCCAATCAGACCCACTCCCCCATTCTTTCCCCAAATCCTTACAAGTTTTTCCTCTTCAAGTTCCTCTCCAATTCCTTTTGAAAGTTGGTATTGAATCTGTTTCCACCCTTTCAGGCAACGCATTCCAGACCGTGACAACTCTCTGTGTTGAAAAAAAAATTCTCATTTCCCCTCTGGCTCTTTTGCCAATTATCTTAAATCTCTGGTTATGACCCACCTGCCATAGAAAACAGTTTCTCTCTGTCTACTCTATCAAAACTCCTCATAATTGTGAACACCTCTACAGTGTACCTTTCCACCCAATTGGTTGCAACTTTGATATCTCTTCAATAGGGCTAAATAGTGAGATCATAGAATTGCTTTGCACTGTATGTAACTGAATGCAAAGCGTGTTTACCTGAACCACGTGAAATGTAACTCTGTTCGTATAAAAAGAATTTAATACACAGTGTCAGTACATAGCATTACAACAGCAGAATTCTGATCTTAACACGTGTCCAGCTGCTCTCCAGTGGTTCAGTGGGTAAATGCACAGGCTGCAGTGCTTCCCCATATAAGCCAGGAAGCTCCTGAGTTTGATAGTTGACTTAGCCAGCTGATTGTACAGTGGTCGGGACATTGAGGGAATTGTGTCTCTTTTCCAAAATAGTTCCACGATAATAATAATCCTTGCATTTGATATAGCGCTTTTCATGTCTTCTCGACGTCTCAAAGCGCTTCACAGAATATGCTGTAAAGTGAATTGACTGTATATTTGTGGGTGAACGCGGCAGCCAATTGTGCACAGCAATGTCCCACAAACAGTCGTGGATTGAAAATGACCAATTTATTATTGTTTTGGAGGGATTATTATTAGGCTCTGTGTGGGGTAAGGAAACTTGGCCAAGGTTTCGCCCTGCCTTGTGTGGTGCACATCCACAGATATGAAGAGACATCAAGGGACCATGTTGTAAGGAGGCACACGGTCAAGATGCCTGCCTTGACGTTACTTCCTGCCCAGGAAATGAAGTTAAGAACAAGCATCTTTACCATGCTCCTACTTTACAATCCAGTTTACAACTTTAGAACTACAGCACCTGCTGTTTTCAGCACATATGCTTCTACACCTCAACTTCTAGCCACTCCAATTCTTCTTTTGCACACGCATAAAGTCTAGTTTGAGCGAAAAATAGTTCCCACGGACACAGACACACATACAGAGAATCCTGAGTGAGCACAAGGGATGAATGAACGAGAGATTTTTAATGCTCACCTGGATCACCAGAATGTGATCTTGGTTCAGCATCTCACCTAAGGAACAGTTCTTGACTGAGGACCAGGGGTTGCTGACCCAAATTGCACCATCCTCTATCAAAGCTTTGAGGGCAGGGAGAGGAAATTAGAATCATAGAATATTATAGCACAGGAGGAGGCCATTCGGCCCATTGTGCCTATCCGGCTAGAGTGCCTGGCACTGAGCAACCTGCTTCATTACTCCTGTATAATCTGTAACGAAACCTTGAAGTGAACTATAGGCTTGAAATCACTTGTGCAATAGTGGATGAAGTAGAAATATCAGATGAACCTTGTATATTATATATTCCTCTTTCCATCGTCACTTACCTGAGCAAAGTTTCACGCGAATGTGCTTTGTTGGAGCACTTTGTTGTGCTTTGTTTCTATCTAACGAACTCGGAGAGGATAAGAGCAAATCAGGATCTTAATATATGGAGTGGAGGGCGCTATATAAATCCAAGTTGTTGTTGTTGTTGTATATATCAGGCCCCCAACACTGTGTGCCTACCGTGATTTGATTAGATGTAGAGGCCCTGCAGAAAACCTCTGTTGACCGACCGACCGAACGAACGAACACAGCGAGGAGACAGTGAATCTTTCACAGAGGCATTTGGTGAATTTAATTTCTCAGAGATGAGAACACATGTAGATGAACCTGATAGACACAGAATCTTTCACTGAGAGAACCAGGTTGGAACTTTGAACCATTGGCCATTACCTTGGTGTAGTGGCTTATTTATCACTTCGTCTGATCCCTGATCCTCCAGAATATCAGATGGACTGAGCCAGGAGTATTCTGATAGTACTCAGAGACATTGGTATAAGACCACCTACTTTATCTGTCCAGGTCAGCAAGGCCAGCTGTTTCCTTGAGCACTGCCTTGGCTTTGGTTCAGCAGCTCCTAAGCAACCCCCTCAGCTGCCATACGGCACAAAGCTGAATACATTAGCCTCTGATTTTGGAATAGAGGAGAGTTCTCTTTACTACGTTCTCACCCATCCCTGACTTGCGCCTATGTCCTTTTTAAAAGTTTTAAGTATTACAATAGAGTATATAATAATAATCCTTATCACATCTTCGAGAGGGTGAAGTGAATTGACTCTATATTTTGGGGCAGAACGTGACAGCCAAATGCACACAGCAGCATCACACAAACAGTCGTGGATTGAGTGACCAAATTATTATTTTATTTATTTTGAAGGGATTATTGCCCCTGGAAAAGTGATCTGCCAATCAACTAACAACCGTGTTCCTACTTACTGCTGGTAAACAGAGGCGTGTGTGTGGAGTAAGGAAACTTGCCCAACGTTTCCCCCTGCCTGAGAACCCAGGTCCTCTCACTTGTGAGGCGAGTGCTCTAACTACTGAGCTACAGGACTCCACAAATATATGTGATTGTGTGGAGTCTTCCAAATGCAGCTTACTTTTTTTTACCAAATGACTGTTATAATGATGAACCTTTATAAACACTGGTTAGGCCTCAGCTCGAGACTGTGCTCAGTTCTGGGCCCCACACTTTAGGAAGGATGTCAAGGCATTGGAGAGGGTGCCAAAGAGATTGACCAGGATGGTACCAGGAATGAGGGACTTCAGTTATCATGAGAGGCGAGAGAAGCTGGGATTATTCTCCTTGGAGCAGAGACTTAATAATAATAATAATCCTTGCATTTGATATAGCGCTTTTCATTTAAATTTCTTTTAATAGAAGTTTTCCAAATTATGAGGGGATTCGAGTGAAGACAAATAAACTATTCCCACTGGCGGGTGGGTCGGTAACCCGAGGACCTGATTTAAAATAGTTTTTTAAAAAAAGGGGGAGGTGAAGAGAAATGTTTTCACACAGTGAGATGTTGGGATCTGGAATGCATTGCCTGAAAGGCTGGTGGAAGCCGATTCGATAACAACTTTTAAAAGAGAACTAGATAATTATTAGGGGAAACAAGTTTGCAGGGCTATGGGGAGAGCGCGGGGGGGAGTGGGGTTGATCAGGGCTATGGGGAGAGCGCGGGGGGTGGGGTTGATCAAGGCTATGGGGAGAGAGTGGGGGAGTGGGGTTGATCAGGGCTATGGGGAGAGCGCGGGGGAGTGGGGTTGATCAGGGCTATGGAGAGAGAGTGGGGGAGTGGGGGTGATCAGGGCTATGGGGAGAGAGTGGGGGAGTGGGGTTGATCAGGGCTATGGGGAGAGCGCGGGGGAGTGGGGTTGATCAGGGCTATGGGGAGAGAGCGGGGGAGTGGGGTTGATCAGGGCTATGGGGAGAGAGTGGGGGAGTGGGGTTGATCAGGGCTATGGGGAGAGCGCGGGGGAGTGGGGTTGATCAGGGCTATGGGGAGAGAGCGGGGAAGTGGGGTTGATCAGGGCTATGGGGAGAGAGTGGGGGATTGGGGTTGATCAGGGCTATGGGGAGAGCGCGGGGGAGTGGGGTTGATCAGGGCTATGGGGAGAGAGCGGGGGAGTGGGGTTGATCAGGGCTATGGGGAGAGAGCGGGGGAGTGGGGTTGATCAGGGCTATGGGGAGAGAGTGGGGGAGTGGGGTTGATCAGGGCTATGGGGAGAGAGTGGGGGATTGGGGTTGATCAGGGCTATTGGGAGAGAGTGGGGGAGTGGGGTTGATCAGGGCTATGGGGAGAGAGTGGGGGAGTGGGGTTGATCAGGGCTATGGGGAGAGTGGGGTTGATTAGGGCTATGGGGAGAGTGGGGGAGTGGGATTGATCAGAGCTATGGGGAGAGTGGGGGAGTGGGGTTGATTAGGGCTATGGGGAGAGTGGGGGAGTGGGGTTGATTAGGGCTATGGGGAGAGTGGGGGAGTGGGGTTGATTAGGGCTATGGGGGGACTGGGGTTGACCAGGGGTATGGGGAGAGTGGGGGAGTGGGGTTGATTAGGGCTATGGGGAGAGTGGGGGAGTGGGGTTGATTAGGGCTATGGGGGGACTGGGGTTGACCAGGGGTATGGGGAGAGTGGGGGAGTGGGGTTGATTAGGGCTATGGGGAGAGTGGGGGAGTGGGGTTGATTTGAATAGCTCTTTTTAAAGAGTCAGCACAGTCATGATGGGCCGAATGGCCTCCTTTTGTGCTGTATAATTCTATGATACTAAGACTGACAGACAGAATAAAAGTGTTGGACTTAAACTGATCTTCCAACTGTGGTCACGTTCAGCAGATGGTATTACGTCTTTCACATGTCTCTCTTTGAGGTTTCTGTTCTGTGCCGCCTGCCAGCGTTCTAACCTTTTGCTCACTCAGCATCAATGTATGTGCCTGAGGTTGGTGATTCCCTGTTGGTGCTGCCGTCTCAGTGCATTTTCCTCGGCTGTCCTTTTGGGCAGGTATAGTGGAAGGTAAATGCAGGAACACTATGTTGGAAGCACTTTAATAGCATGGAAAGGAAAAAATGTGATCCTGTTCGTAAAGGAAATGTTACCACTATGAACATTTCCCAGACAACAAATATTCTTGCTATGTAGAATTATGGTTTGAAGATCCTAACTTCCACACCAATGGTGTGTAATCTTATCTTTTTTGTATTTATATCAAACGATAGAGATAAAACCTCATCCAAGCTCATTTTCTCAGTACTGCAGCACATGATATCATCTGCCGGGACAGGGCAGTGATTTTAATTTTTCATCATCACTATGGGGATTTTCAAGATGCCAGCAAATGCATTAATGGAGAGGTGAGAGGCAGCCCACATAGCCCTTCCAGGGGGTTTAAACCACACTCTGTATCAGTAGATATATCATCGGCGTACGTGTCTATCGACTTTGAAAGAATTTCTTTGTGCAATGAGATTTCTACATTGAATTTGTTTTCCATGTTATTCCATGTTATTTGCATTATTCGAACCCCTTCAGTCGGGTTTCCGTGCTGCCCATAGCACAGAAACTGCCCTGGTCAAGGTCACCAATGACATCCTGACCATCTGTGACCAGGGCTCCCTCTGCCTCCTCGTCCTCCTCGACCTATCGGCAGCATTCGATACGGTCGACCACACTATCCTCCTCCACCGCTTGTCCTCCCACCTCAACCTTCAAGGCCCTGTCCTTGAGTGGTTTAGGTCGTACCTCTCCCACTATCTTCATTTTGTTTCCACAAACGGCTTTTCCTCCAGCCCCCGCACTGTCTCATGTGGTGTCCCTCAGGGCTCTGTCCTCGGTCCCCTCCTCTTCACCCTCTATATGCTCCCCCTGTGGTGACATCATCCGCAGACATGGGGTTAACTCCCACATGTATGCGGATAACACCCAACTCTACCTTTCCTCCTCTACCCTCAACTCCACGACCCCCGATGTCCTGACAGCTGTCTGTCCGACATTGAGTCCTGGACGAGAGACAACTTTCTTCAGCTCAACGTGCGCAAAACTGAGGCCCTCCTGATTGGCTCAGGTTAGCGCCTCCGCACCTCAGGCGCTGACAGCATCAGCTCCGCACTCTCCACCTCTCAAAGCCATCAGGAACCTCGGGGTTCCCCCCCGACCCTGAGTTGTCCTTTCTCCCTCACATCCGCACCACAACTGGCACCGCCTTCCATCACCTCCGGAACATCGCCAGACTACGGCACTACCTCACCCCTCACGCGGCCGAAACTCTGGTCCACACCTTTATCACCTCAAGGCTGGACTATGGGAACTCTCTCCTCGTCGGCCTTCCCGGGCCTCCCTCCACACTGCAGGTCATTCAGAACTCTGCAGCTCGTGTACTGTCCCGCACCAGACACCGAGACCACATCACTCCCACCCTCGCCCTCGCCCTCGCCCTCACCCTCGCTCGCCTCCACTGGCTCCCCATCCCCCAGAGGATCGAATTCAAGATCCTCATCCTCACCTACACGGCCATTCACGGCCTCGGTCCCTCCTACCTCTCCGACCCACTATCCCCCTACCTACCTGCCGATACCCTCCGTTCCTCTGGCTCCAGTCTGCTCCACATCCCCCGCCCCAACCGCCCTACCATCGGTGGCCGGGCCTTCAGCCTCTCAGCCCCGAGGCTCTGGAACTCCATCCCCCAGTGCCTTCGCCGCTTCCTCCCTTTCCTCCTTCAAGGCCGGTCTCAAGACCTTTCTCTTTGACCTTCAGCCTTCAGCTCCGCTCTCGACTCTCTACCCCCTCCTCGCCCCCTCCCTTCCCTCCCCTCACCCTGACCATTTCCCCCCAATGCTCGGGTCTTGACCCAACTGTACAGCGCCCTGGGATGTCCTCCCGACGTGAAAGGCGCTCTATAAATGGAATCTTGTTGTTGTTGTTGTTCTTGTTGTTTATCAGTGTGAGCTGTCACAGAGTGAGGTTATGGAGTTTAGTTATTATTTCCGACTTGCTAACCTGATTCCTCCCACACTCCCCATTCAGCCTTCCCCAGTTATATTGATGATAATGCCACTTAACCTCCCTGGTGCTGTCTGGTGTAAATCCTCTCTGTCACTGGCGTATGCTGATCTACGCTGACACTTGAACACTGGTTTGAGTTTCTGGGAATGTACAATTTAACTTTCCCAGGATATAAAGCAATGTCTGATGGTTTCGGCTGGTGCTGTGTATGGTGGGGGGGGAAGGAGTGCCTTGAGGAGCTCCTGGAAGTTGACAAAAGTTTGTTTCCAATGTCTTGGGGTTGGAGGTGAACAACATTCAGTGGTGATTGTGGTGCTGCCTGTAAAGTTTCCAGTAACTCAGGGTTGTATTCTGTAGGAGTCTGAAAACCGGCTGTGGTCGTACGTCTATCCTAACAAGTACACGGAGCAGCAGAAGCTGGAGGAGGAGCGATGGAAGGAATCAGAACGTGACCGAAAACTTAAAGAAGAAAGCTTGTCCCGGATAAGAAACAAGGAGATAGCAGTTAAAGAGGAAAGCAAAGACAGCATGTGCTCCGAGGCCCGCTCAGCCTCTTCAGACGAGTGTCGATCTATTGGGAAGGATCCCAGATCAGGCCTTCATATTGCCGTGTCCTCTCCCCTCGCTCAGCACCCATCCTACATGCCATATGTCCACGGCTATCCGTACGGCAAGCCTTACGAATCTGCTCATCCGGGATTCAGAGGGGTCACTCCGATGATGATGCAAAATTACCCAGGTAAAGGCACCAGCTGTCGTACAACATCCAAATAGTAGTCATCTTGCACTTGATACAGCGTCTTGTCATGTCTTCGAGGCGTCTCAAACACTTCACAGAATATACTGTAAAGTGAATTGACTGTATAATTTGATATCTTAAAGTGCTTCACAGGAATTAATTTCATCCACAAAACATCCAGTCAATTCACTTCACAGTATATTCTGTGAAACGCTTTGAGACGTCAAGAAGATATGTTAAGGTCCTGTATCAAATGCAAGGATTATTATTATTTCTTAATGTAAAGTGGAGTGACTGTGTATTTTGTAGGTGAATGAAGATATTTATAAAGTTAATACACACACCACGTACTGAAAAATTAGCAAGGTCAGCAAAACAATTTGGCAACTTTTTTGTTGGAGGTGTTGAGTGCTGTGGAGACCAAGAGCCATTTAAGTGGATGGTAGTGGCGATTTCAGCCTCTGATTTTAACCATCGATTTTAATCAAGTGGATTAAGTGGCAATTTTAACCTCCACTTCACCCCCTCCTGCTCCATCTCCTCAGACTTCTCTCTCCTCTCCTCTCTCAACCTCTCCCTCCACATCCACTCTGCTACCCACACCCACGGTCACCCGCTCGACCAGGTGATCACCCGGGCCCTCAGCGTCTTGGATGTCGCCATCACTAACAAGACAATCTCTGACCACCATTTCATCTCCCTCAACTACCATGTCCCACTCCCCACTGCCTCCAAACCTACCAACATCTTCTACCGCCCATGGAAGAAGGTCTCCCCACAATCCCTCTCTGCTGCTCTGGAATCCTCTGATCTCCTCCCCCTCTGGCCCACCTCTCGCAACAACCCATTCGCTACACTCACTCTTCTCCACAGCACCCTCTCCACCACCCTCGACGTCCTTGCCCCCCTCACCCCCGAACTGCCTCCTATTCCCGATTTTCACTCTGGTTCACCAGTCACCTCCGCTCGCTTAAGAGCCAGGTGTGGACTGCCGAACACACTTGGCTCAAATCTGGCTAACGGTCCACCGCCACATCTGGCTGGACCTCATCAAAACCTACCGCTCCGCTCTCGCCTCAGCCAAATCATCCTTCTATTCCAGGTTAATCCTGGAGGCGAAAGGCAATCCCAGGCTCCTGTTCTCCACCACCAACCGGCTCCTCCACTGTCCCCGACACGCCTCGCAGATACTTTCCTCTGACTCTCACTGCGAGAAAATGCTGGACTTCCTCAAGTCCAAAATCGAGGGAATCCGCTCAGCTGCCACTGCCCTCCCAACTTCCAACCCCTCCCTACCCCCACCCCACACAATTACCCATCCGACAATTACTCATCCTTCCACACTGTTGAATCTGTCACCCCCTCCTCTGTCTTCAACACGGTAACCTCCATGATGTCCACCACCTGCTCCCTCGACCCCATCCCCACCCCGCTCCTTAAATCCCAGCTCCACCTCCTTGCCCCACTACTCACCGACATCATTAACCTCTCCCTGTTATCTGGCACTGTTCCTTTCCCCCTCAAAACAGCCACTATCACCCCCACCTTGAAGAAACCTTCCCTCGACCCATCACAGCTATTTAGCTATTGGCCCATCTCAAATCTCCCCTTCCTATCCAAGGTCCTTGAGAGAGCCGTTGCCTTTCAGCTTGGCTCTTTTCTCTCCTCCCACTCCCTCCATGAACCCCTCCAATCGGGTTTCTGTGCTGCCCACAGTACAGAAACTGCTCTGGTCAAGGTCACAAATGACATCCCAACCATGTGTGACCAGGGCTCCCTCTGCCTCCTCGTCCTCCTCAACCTCTCCGCCGCCTTTGACACCGTGGACCATTCAATCCTCCTCCACTGCCTCTCCTCCCACCTCAACCTTCAAGGTTCTGTCCTTGATTGGTTGAGGTCCTACCTTTTACATCGCCTCCACTTCATCGAGGCTTCTCCTCCAGCCCCTGCACTGACTCGCGCGGTGTACCTGAGGACTCTGCCCTCGGTCCCCTCCTCTTCACCCTCTACATGCTCCCCCTTGGTGTCATCCACAGACATTGGGTAAAGTTCCACAAGCATGTGGATGACACCCAACTCTACCTCTCTGCCTCCACCCTGAACTCCAGGACTGGGGTCCTGACCGACTGCCTGTCCAACATCATGTCCTGGACAAGGGCCAATTTTGTCCAATTCAACATCAGCAAGACCGAGGCCCTCCTGATTGGCTCGCGCCAACGCCTCCGCACCTCGGGCGCTGGCAGCATCAGCCTCCACGGCTGCACACTCAACCTCACTAAGCCAGTCAGGAACCTGGGGGTCTTGTTTGATCTTGAACTGTCCTTTCTCCCCCACGTCCGTGCCAGCACTGCCTACCACCACCTCCACAACATTGCCAGACTCCGCCACTGCCTCACCCCTCAGGCCCCCAAACCCTCACCCACACATTCGTTACCTCAAGGCTCAATTATGGAAACTCCCTCCTCATCGGCCTTCCCAACTCTTCCCTTCACACTCTGCAGATCATCCAAAACTCTGCAGCTCGTGTACTCTCACGCACCAGGCTCCGCGACCCCATCACTCCCACCCTCGCCCGACCCCATCACTCCCACCCTCGCCCGACCCCATCACTCCCACCCTCGCCCAACTCCACTGGCTCCCCATCCCCCAGAGGATCGAGTTCAAGATCCTCTTCCTCACCTTTAAGGCCATCCATGGCATCGCCCCCTCCTACCTCTCTGACCTGCTGACTCCCTACCAACTTGTCCGCTCCCTCGGCTCATCAGGCTCCGGTCTGCTCCATGTCTCCCATCTGACCAGCCCTACCATCGGTGGCCGGGCTTTCAGCCTCTCTGCCCCCACACTCTGGAACTCCATCCCACGGTCCCTTGGCCTCGCTTCCTCCCTCACCTCCTTCAAGGCTGGTCTCAAGACCCTTCTCTTCAACCGTGCTTTTGGTCTCCCTCCCACCTCTCTGCCTTCCCTCACCCCTACCCCACCCCTCCCCCATGCTTGGGCCCCGACACCTGACTGTTCAACACTTTGGGACGTCCTCCTAACGTGAAAGGTGCTCTATAAATGTCATTTTGTTGTTGATGGTATTTTGGTGCTTGAAAATACTCATTGGGATCATCGGTTGATTGAGTACTGCAAAGCCAGGAATTCTTCAGACTACCTTGTCTAGGGTTTGGTTTTGGGTACAAGAGCCAAGAGTGGAGAAGAGGGTGAATATTCTGAAAGCTTTAAATTGTGTTGCACAATGTGCTTGTGAAATAGTATGAGAGCACATGTGTGTGTAAGGGCTGTCAGCCTGCCTGCCCAGTGCTGAGCTCCTCACCCAGAATCCGGTGGGGGACGTGGTATTGCAGGTCATGAGACAGATTTAACCTCAAATCTGAAGGGTCAGCCGCAGGGAAACAGAAGGTTATCGATTCTGGAAAGCTGATGCAATACAGTTTTTTAAAAAAATCCTGTGTGTTATATTTTAAAGCACAGACAATTCTCCTAAAAGTGCTGGATCACCCCATCACCCCAGTCCTCGTCAGGTTCCACTGGCTCCCTAATGCAGAACAGATCAATTTCAAAATCGTCACACTCGCCTACAAATCACTTCACACCCTGACAACTCCCTACCTCTCAGACCTGTTCACACTCCACTATCTGCCTCCTTCGCTCGGCTGGCTCTGACCTTCTGCTTGTCCCTTGTCCCCTCCTCTCCATCAACAGCAGATTTCAGCCACTACCCCCAACCCTATGGAACTCGCTGCCTGAAGCCCTCTGCCTTGTCCCCTCTTTGCCCGTCTTCAGAACACACCTGAAGACTTTCCTCTTTGGCTGAGAGAAGATCACCTCCCTTCTCTCCCTGGCTCAGGGTCAAACTCATTGTTAAACCCTGCATAAAAGGCTTTGTATAAGTACAATCGTTGTTGAAAATATCTTCTGATCAAGGAAGGCACAGGGCATTAATGATACAGCCTTATGCTTATGGTTCCTTTAAATCAGCACTGACTGTTAAACCCAAATAGTCCCTCCCTCCCTCCCATATTATGACACATGTTGTTGCTGCTATGTCCTGATTTATGATTTTTTCTTTTCAGGGTCATACCTGTCTTCCAGTTTCTCATTCTCACCTTATGCGAGTAAGGTCCCAGGGCACGAGGATGGCGAGCGAGCCCGAGGTAGTCCTGGTGTCAGCAACAAATCAAGCTCAGAATCCATAGCCCTGGACATCCTGCAGCAGCACGCCAGCCAGTACAAGAGCAGGTCACCAACGGTGAGTAGACTGGGCCACACCTGGCTGGGTGGAGACAGAGCACACTAGCACAGAGCCTATTAGAGCTCAGCCCGTGTTCGTGACCTAATGACACCCTGTTATTTCCTCCCACTTCAGTGTAAAGCCATATCCTCCCTCCACTTCAGATGATGTACAATTTTAAGAAGGCTTCAACTATGTCTGGGTCTAATGTTTTGCGGTGACAAGATATTCTAGAAATGTAAAATAAAGACAGTGTTGACTTTTAGGTTGAACCAATATTTATTTAATTGTTGGTAAAAGGCAAAATACTGCAGATGCTGGAAATCTGAAATAAAAACACAAGTCGCTGAGAAGCAGGTCAGGGAGCATTTCGAGAGAGAGAGAGAGAGAGAGGAAAATGACCTTTCGTCATCAACCTGAAACATTAACTCACCTTGGATTCTGTAGCGTGATGGTGATTAGAGTTTGAGATATTAGAGTTTGCTACTAGGCTGAGTGAGTTGCTCATGCCATCCTCCACAACCGCCTCTCCTCTCTCATCTGCCTTTCCTCTCTCATCCGCCTCTCCTCCCTCACCCGCCTCAATGAGATTGTCATCTCCTGGTTCAAGTCCTACATTACTACATACGATAGGCAAGTGAAATAGTAATACAAATTGTAGCATCCACAGTCAGACAGAAAATATTATATTGAGAAATCAATACCTGTTACACAACTCTGAGACATGTTTCTTCCCAGTCATTCATTTGGAAACGTTGCTTGTTTTACTGTTATTCTTTCAGACATGACTATATTACCCATCATTGATTTGGAGGAAATTACTATATTTAGTTCTGCATAAGTACTGATGGAATAATTTAGCACCAAGTGTCCTCTACATTGCTTGTAATAATAATCCCTCAAGCAAAAAAACAATAATAAATTGGTCACTTCAAACCATGGCTGTTTGTGGGACATTGCTGTGCGCAATTGTCTGCCACATTTCGCACACAAAAAAATACAGTCAATTCACTTCACAATATATTCTGTGAAGCGCTTTGAAACGTCTCGAAGACATGAAAAGCACTATATCAAATGCAAGGATTATTATTACTATTATTATTACATGAGCCATCGCCATCATTTTGCCTCTTCTGATGGTTTCTCCTCCTGCCTATCCCAAGTCTCTATTCTCAGCCCCTCCTTTTTCTCATTTACACGCTCCCTCTCGGTGATGTCATTCTCAGTCACAGGGTTGACTTCCACATATATGCAGATGTCCACCAGATCTATTTTTCTCCTCTAGTCACAACCTCAGTTCTACCAATATTCTGATGGCCTGCTTGTCTGGACATCAGGGCATGGAGGAGTGACAATTCTCTCAGCTGAACATGGACAAGAGAGAAGCCATGCTCCTCAACATCTTTTCACCCACGGTTCTAAACTCCTTAACCTCCCCGGCCTATCCCTCAGATATGCCAAACCTGTATGCAACCTCGGCGTCAGGTTTAATCCACAGATGTCCTTCCACGTCTCCGGTTACTGACCAGGACCGCCTCTTTCCACCTCCACCTCCATTGCATCACCCACCTTCGACCCTATCTTACTTCAAATGCTGCTGAAATTCTCATTCATGCTTTCATCACTTCGCACCTCGATATTTCCAATGCTCTTCTCGCCTGCCTCCCCAGCTCCATTATTGACAAATTCCAAATGATTCAAAACTCTTCCGCCCATGTCTTCATGGCTCCACTGGCTCCCTGCTGCAGATCGAATTGATTTCAAGATTCTCACGTTCAAATCTCTTAATGCCCTGACACAACGACTTGCACTTATATAGCACCCTCCACGCGGGGTAGCATCTCAGAGCGCTTAACTATGGCGGAGCCTGACTACGAGCCGGGGGGGAGTGGGTAGGTGGCCATAAGCATGGTTGAAGAGGAAAGTTTTCAGGCGGGACTTGAAAAGGGGGAGAGAGGGGGCAAGGCGAAGGGATTGAAGGGTGTGGCGGCTGAAAGCGCGACCACTGATGGTGGGGTGGGGGGTTCCGAGGGACAAGCCGGAGGCTGGTTCCAGTCGATCAGAAGCCTTGGGTGGTGGATTGGGGAGTGAGAGGGTCGGAGAGGTAGGGAGGTGCCAGGGAGTGATTGGATTTGAACATGAGTGTGAGGATCTTGAAGTCGATCTGTTTGGTGATGGGGAGCCAGTGGAGCCTGGGCCAGAACTGGTGAGATGTGGGTAGGGAGTTTGGTTCAGGTCAGTGTGCGGGCGGCAAAGTCTGAATGAGCTGATCTTGTGGAGCTGGGGAGACCGGCGAGGAGTGAGTTGGAGTAACAAACGCATGCACCAGGGTTTCGGCTGCATTTGGGGTAAAGTAAGGTCGGAGGTGGAGGAAGGCGGTCCTGGTCAGGCAGTGGATGTGGGGGAGGAAGGACAGCTGTGGGTCGAACCGGATGCCTAGATTGCGCACTGGTTTGGTAAGTATGAGAGCCCAGGGAGGTTGGGGAGTTCAGATCTGCAGGAGTGAAGTCGTTGACAGGACCCAAGGAGTATGGCTTCCGTCTTGTCCATATTCAGCTGCAGGAAGTTTACTCTCATCCAGGCCCTGATGTATGCCAGACAAGCTGATAGAACATCGGGGGAACCTGGAGTTGGTGCTGGAGGCAAAGTAGATTTGTGTGTCACCTGCACACATGTGGAAGTTTACCCGATGTCTGTGGGTGACATCACCCAGAGGGAGTATATAGATAAGGAAAAGAAGAGACCAAGGATGGAGCCCTGGGGTGACCGGGCGAGGGCGGGAGGAGAAACCATTTGCTGAGATGAAATGGAGGCGGTTGGTTAAGTAGAACTCGAACCATATGAGTGCGGTCCCACTAAGGTGGATGAGGGAGGAGAGGCAATGGAGGAGGATGGTGTGGTCAACTGTGTCAAACGCGGCAGAGAGATCCAGGAGGATGAGGAGGCAGAGGGAGCCCTGGTCACAGATAGAGAGGACGTTGTTTGTGACTTTGACAACCCTACCTCTCTGATCTGCTCACATCCCATCCTCTTACCCACTGCCTTCGCTCAGCTGATTCAGGTCTTCTGCACATTCCTCGTCCCCTCCGCTCCACAGTTGGCGGCCCTGCTTTCAGCCACTGCCCTGATTCTCTGGAACTTTTTTCATGAATCCATCCATCTTGCCCCCTCTCTGCCCGTCTTCAAATCACACCTTTAGACTTTCCTCTTTGACTGTGCCTTTGGTCACCTCCCCCACAACACACCTTCCGGTTCAATGTCAAGCCACACCGCTGTTAAGCGCTCGCTCCATGATGCTACCTGCAGAAAGGACACTTATATAAAAACAATTTGTAGTTATTTGTGACAATTTAGCCAATTAGAACTATGAACACTCTCCTCCCTTCTCTCTCTCTCCCTCCCCACCCACCCCTTCTCTCTCTCTCCCCTCAGTCACCATTTGCTGCTCCTCGTGTTCTCTTAGCTGTTCCAGGTTTGGTGATGTGTGTGTATGAAATGATGCCTGGGCCCCTCACCTGCTTCACAGTGTCAGTGGTGCTGGGGAATGGCTGATCACTTAAGCAGTGAGAGTTGAGGCTGTAAATATCTACCTTCTTGTGTACATGTAGATGAGTGAGAAGCTTCCTCATGAACGAGGTGAGAGAGAGCTTGATAAGGACCGTCCCCGCTCATCACCATCCCAGCGACAGCTTCCCTCTCATCACCACATGGGGATGGGGTATCCATTGCTGCCAGGGCAGTATGAGCTCCCGTATGCAACAGGTAAGACTGAGCAGCAGGTAACACGACGTGTCAACTGAGAGACAACACTTAGCATGAACATCATCAGACACAAACATTCACATTTCTTCTTCCATTAACCCAACCTGTAGAAATAATCAGCATAAGCGTTTCACTCCCCCCACATCCCCTGCCTCACTCCCCACCCCACCATCCCCTGCCTCACTCCCCACCCCCCCATCCCCTGCCTCACTCCCCACCCCCCATCCCTTGCCTCACTGCCCCCCCACATCCCCTGCCTCACTTCCCCCCCCCAACATCCCCTGCCTCACTCCGCCCCCCCCAATCCCCTGCCTCACTCCGCAACCCCATCCCCTGCCTCACTCCCCACCCCCCAATCCCTTGCCTCACTCCCCCCCCATCCCCTGCCTCACTCCGCCTTCCATCCCATGCCTCACTCTCCCCCCCCCCCCCATCCGCTGCCTCACTCCACCTTCCCACCCCCCATCCGTTGCCTCACTCCACCCTCTCCCCACACCCCCATCCCCTGCCTCACTTCCCCCTACCCCATCCCCTGCCTCACTTCCCCCCACCCCCATCCGCTGCCTCACTCCTCTCACCTAATATTAGAATACCTTCTGTGTCAATTCCACTTAATGTAGGACATTGTATAAACTTCCACATGTGTGCAGTGTGTTTTGTTAATGATCCCCACACACAACTCCCATCAATGACACATTGGCAAGAGCTGTGTATTTTGGATGGTGATGTGTAAGTAGTAACTGGAGAGATGTGCACTTGTCCAGGGTTATGGGAATGCTGTTATCAGTATGAAGCTTGTCAGTGTCCAGCACAGATATGTGCTTGAGGTATGGGGAGCTGCCCAGACCTGAGGAAAGGCACAAGATAAATTTGATAGATTTTGGAAAAGCAAATGTCTCCTTCGTCTGTGTTAATGCTGTGTCTCTCCACCCCGCCAGGTCTCTCCTCTCCAGCCCTTGTTGCAAGCCAACAGGCTGCCGCTCAGGCCTCAGCATCCAACCTGTTCCCGCCGGCCAGAAGGTGAGAATGGTGAGGACAATCTTCTTTTACTCTTTTTACTAATATTTTTCACTGGTTTTATTGCACAGTTGGTAGAATACTCACCGATTATCCACCCCTTTTACTGGCAGATCTGTGGTTGACCTTCCAATCTCTTCTCTACTCATTGCTCATTGTCACAGAGAGACACTCACAGTCGTTGTGGGCAATTCCACAATTTGACCCAGTTCTTCTGTTGTACATAGCATAACATGTAGGAGCAGGAGTAGGCCATTCGGCCCTTCGAGCCTGCCCCGCCATTCAATCATGGCTGATCTTCTAATCTAACTCCAGCTAATAACCTGACGCTGCCTTATCCCCATATCCCTTAATCCCTTTTGCAATAAGAAATCTATCTCTCAGTCTTGAGTATGTTCAAGGACTGAGCGTCAACAGCCCTTTGGGGTAGTGAGTTCCATACATTAGTGGGCAAAACATCCGGTCAGATTGACCTCAGTCACTTTGCATTTTATGCATGTGTCTCAGGTGGTGAATACCATGTGGTATCAGATGGCTCAGTGTGGCTCAGTGTGAAATGTCCCAGATCAGAGAGAGAGAAAACAGACCAAACAGCTGCTGACAAAGATATTTAAGATATAAAAACAGAAGTGGCTGGGAACACTCAGCAGGTCAGGCAGCATCTATGGAGAGAGGAAAGTGAGTTAATGTTTCAGATTGATGATCTTTCGTCAGAACTCTTTAAAGATTATTGAAGTGCAGCCATTGTGGGGATCGATGACTTCTGTACTTGTATAAAAGCGTCTCACTGCTCACTCACACTCTGTACTTTCTCTTTCAGGGAGTGAAAGAATGGGATCACTTCATTCAGATACATGTGACTGGATCACATGAGGAAGCTGCATTTTCTTAGACATCAGTTCAATGGTGTTCCGGGTTCCTGCCATGAAGTCGGGCAGACTGTGGGAAAGTTTCTCCTGTCGGACTCTGATGTTTATAATGGAGATCTGGTACCTGTATTATATATGTGTCTTGGTGGCTATTTGCAGGAATGTCCTCAGCCTGCCTTCCTCACGGTGTAGATATGTTGTAGACTATTCCCTAATCTGCATCCGCTCCTGTCAAAACAGCCTTTCCCAGATTGATGATATTAGTATTGTGGAGTTCACTGTCACTGCTTTGCTGGGGTTGTTGAAGACATTGAGTCGGATGATGGCAGGACTACTCTACCTTCTTTCCTCACATGGTCCTTAAGGAACCTGGACTGGGTTGAAATTTCTAATCAGCTGAACCCACAGAGTCCTTAACTAATTGTGAATCTAACATTTACATTGGTTGGAGAGAAAGAGTGAGAGATCTGCACACACCAGAGGCTCAAATACCCCAGTATTTGAGGGGTTATACCTTAGCGAAAGGGGGTCTGGCAGATGAGTTCTGGCCTTGTCATGCACCCCATTACAGGTTGGTTTCTGCTGGAAAAACTTACAGAAAAACCCTCCACCTGGTGCAGCACAGCTTATTTCATCAGTGATGTGAAACACGTCAAGCATCAGGCTTGTTCTGAGCACTTCTAAACTTCAGACTGAAAAAAGGCACTTATAGATCCAACAGACAGACCTTCAACTCTGATATTGATTGCTTGTCAGCTTTTCTAAATGATGCTGTGTCTTAGCGTCTGGCTCGGTATCTCAGTGACTGGCCTGTCTCGTTAAGCCACACAGAGTTCCCTGTCTCCTGCTTGTTCCATCCCAGCACCTGCTGAGACAAGCTTCCAGTGGTTCACCTGTAGTTTGGGGACATCGCTGCTGCCTGTGTGAAGTACAAACAGTAGATTATAAATAAAGGCCAATATTACACCAGTGATTTGGGAGCGAGTGCTCAAAACTCAGGATTCTGATAACACTTAGAAATCACCTCAGCTTCACTTTACTTTAGTCTGTCACCTGGACTCCCCAGTCAGACTGTCTCCTAGGTATCCCTATATGTAAACTATGTGAACCCTTCAGTTGGATGACAGACGGTAATTTGCTCCCAGTAATCTCCTATTTTATGTAAGAGAAACACCTGCATTCTTTGATTAGATCCCACCCGTAACCAGTTACACTCAGTTCCTGATTTTGTTTAACCTGAGCGATGGAATGAAACTCGGAGATGGGAGTTTGTTATTTAGAATATAGTCATTGCGTCCCACCTTATCCCACTGAAGCTGATGGGCAGTGCTGGGCTGAGGGAGTGCAGGCCTAACTCTAACCCATAACTCTCCAGAGAATACAGACCTCAGCAGAACCTCCTCACTGCACCAACCTCCTCGCTGCACCAACCTCCTCGCTGCACCAACCTCCTCGCTGCACCAACCTCCTCGCTGCACCAACCTCCTCGCTGCACCAACCTCCTCGCTGCACCAACCCCCTCGCTGCACCAACCCCCTCGCTGCACCTCCTCCCTGCACCAACCTCCTCGCTGCACCAACCCCCTCGCTGCACCTCCTCCCTGCACCAACCTCCTCGCTGCACCAACCTCCTCGCTGCACCAACCTCCTCGCTGCACCAACCCCCTCGCTGCACCAACCCCCTCGCTGCACCAACCCCCTCGCTGCACCAACCTCCTCGCTGCACCAACCTCCTCGCTGCACCAACCTCCTCGCTGCACCAACCTCCTCGCTGCACCAACCTCCTCGCTGCACCAACCTCCTCGCTGCACCAACCTCCTCGCTGCACCAACCTCCTCGCTGCACCAACCTCCTCGCTGCACCAACCTCCTCGCTGCACCAACCCCCTCGCTGCACCTCCTCGCTGCACCAACCTCCTCGCTGCACCAACCTCCTCGCTGCACCAACCTCCTCGCTGCACCAACCTCCTCGCTGCACCAACCTCCTCGCTGCACCAACCTCCTCGCTGCACCAACCTCCTCGCTGCACCAACCTCCTCGCTGCACCAACCTCCTCGCTGCACCAACCCCCTCGCTGCACCAACCCCCTCGCTGCACCAACCTCCTCGCTGCACCAACCCCCTCGCTGCACCAACCTCCTCACTGCACCAACCTCCTCACTGCACCAACCCCCTCACTGTACCAACCCCCTCACTGTACCACCAGCCTCCTCACTGTACCAACCTCCTCACTGCACCAACCTCCTCACTGTACCAACCTCCTCACTGCACTAACCCCCTCACTGCACCAACCCCCTCACTGCACCAACCCCCTCACTGCACCAACCCCCTCACTGTACCAACGTCCTCACTGCAATCTTCTCACTGCACCAACCTCCTCGCTGCACCAACCTCCTCGCTGCACCAACCTCCTCGCTGCACCAACCTTCTCGCTCACTGCACCAACCTCCTCACTGCACCAACCTCCTCGCTGCACCAACCTCCTCGCTGCACCAACCCCCTCGCTGCACCAACCCCCTCGCTGCACCAACCTCCTCGCTGCACCAACCTCCTCACTGCACCAACCTCCTCACTGCACCAACCCCCTCACTGCACCAACCTCCTCACTGCACCAACCTCCTCACTGCACCAACCTCCTCACTGCACCAACCTCCTCGCTGCACCAACCCCCTCACTGCACCAACCCCCTCACTGCACCAACCTCCTCACTGCACCAACCTCCTCACTGCACCAACCTCCTCGCTGCACCAACCCCCTCACTGCACCAACCCCCTCGCTGCACCACCAGCCTCCTCACTGTACCAACCTCCTCACTGCACCAACCCCCTCACTGCACCAACCTCCTCACTGCACCAACCTCCTCGCTGCACCAACCCCCTCACTGCACCAACCCCCTCGCTGCACCACCAGCCTCCTCACTGTACCAACCTCCTCACTGCACCAACCCCTCACTGCACCACCAACCTCCTCACTGCACCAACCTCCATTCTTATCTCTGAAGGTTGGACTTGGACTCGTGTTTCTCCATGTAACAGAGTGTAGAGTGAGTCAGTTTGGAATCTCACTTTCCTCATTAATCACATGATAGGTTTACAATGCTCCATTTGGTCTATTTGACCCGTCTCCCAAGCAGGCTCGTGGTGAAATTCTTAGTAGGTTTGAGTATAATCTTGTGTCCTTTCTAGCTGAAGTGCGGCTGGTGTCAGACACACAGTGATGGGCCGAGGAAGCAGTGGAGCTCCCATGTTTGATATTAAAGCATTGGTGAGGTCTTCACCATTAGCCGCCGAGCTGTCATGTAGCTCAGCCCCGCCTGGCATGTATTTTGTAAACGGAAGGTAGATGGTTTGTCTTGTTGGATCATTGGTGTTTGCTCCTGACTTTGGCATAATCGTGTCATTTTTAGAATTAAACATTTGTCCACTTGTATTTGTCCTTTCCCAGAGACCTCCGCTGCCCATCACTGCCCACGCATGTCACCTTCTGCCAGCGCTACTGTACCCCTCAGTTAGCACTCAGTTCTTCCTACCGTCTGCTATCTTCTGTAAATATTGTACAGAGAAAATATTGTAACATGTTTTTTCTTAAAAAAAAGTAGCAGATTTTGGTTTCTGGAGCTTTCCTGATGAAATAGTTCAAACATGGTAATAAACATCTTTTGCCTCTGTTTGTTGAAGCCTGCTGTTAGGGTAGGCCACTGAGTCCTGTGGTGCTAGTGGACTCTGGACACACATTTCCCTTCCTATTAATTTTAAACACAGGTAGAATTCCAGTAATGTCCTCCCACATCCCTTTGTAAATACTCCTCGTGCCTGACCTCACTTCACTCCTATTGTACAGCTGATGTTTCAGGCAGCTTCATCTTCACTGTACCAATCCCATGGATAGTGCTCATATTGTCATGATGTCCCATTATGTGATGGTTCTGTGCTGATTTTGAAGTGCTGGTTCCTGCGCCAATGAATCATTGTTTCAGTACTTGTGATAAAGCTGTCGATCTCCTTTGACCCCCGTCCTGTCCTGTCCTGTCCTGTCCTGTACTGGCTTTGGTTAGGAATACAAATGTCAACATGCAAACGCAACATGTGAAGCGAGCAGCTGAGTCACCCAGCTCCCTGGTTCATTACCATTTACAATGGAATCTTTTATATTAAAACTCACAAAGTGCACGTTCTGCCGACTTTGTGAGGCTTCCAACTAACCTTAGTGTTCAGTGGAGAGAACTGTTAAGAGAGAGGCTCTTATGTGTGAAGTGGAAAAAAGAGTGGATTGTTGCGGGAGCTGCAGTTGACCATCGGAGCTTGCAATGAATTAGCACAAATGGTCACTAGGCTGTATGTCGGCTGTGCTCACTGTTCCTGCACTCACACTTGCTCGGCGCTGTGTGTGGGATTAGCTGATTACCGTTAGGAACACACAAGCTAGATTCCTGTCCTCCAATTAGAACAGATGTACATCTGGGGCAATACTGCTGTAGTGAGACAGGGACAGACTGATATCACCTCAGACACCCTCACACACCATTAAGCTCATTGAAATGTTCATACTGAACCTGATGCACTTCCCACCCAGATTCCATTTCACTGCCTCCCATTTCAACACTTCCACTTGAGGTCGGGCGTGTGGTCTCCTCCCTCTCCTATCCCCACAGCAGAACGGAAACCAGAGGTGGGGGCTTTTAATCTGTTCCCCAACAATCTATCTCTGGGATTGCCATGTGTAGCTGGGATGCATGGAGTTCGCAGCTTGCTTTGGAGACTCTTTAAGCAACGGTGATGGGTTTCCACGCGTGTCTGACACCCGGCTGGTCAAAAAAACCCTATTGAGTTATGGTCTGCCCTCGAGGACTGCCATGTGCGGGGCCTGGCAGCTACTGGGGATGTGGGGAGTTAGAGTGAGGCTGAGCAGAGATTCAGGCTGGGCTCTAGTTTACAGGCCGAAGCCATGAGACCTGCTGCCCACAATACCCGCCTTTACCAGGAGAATGTCCTGTTTCACACGGTTGAAACAAGAAGTGCACAGTTGTGCCAAACTCTGATTCCCTTAAGTATATCTTTATTTCAGATTTTGCCTGCTGCCAAGTTATTGCTTTTGTTGATTGCCCCAGGCAGAGACTGTGCCCTGGGGCAGAGGATGGTCATGTAAGATCTGAAGAGCTTGACCAGCAGCTGATCGGTGGACAAGGATTTGGTGTCAGTCTGTCTCTCTGTCGCTCCAGTCATTTGGCTCCAGGTCAATGCAAGCACCAGGACCAATGGTCTGATTTACCTCAGCTCATAGAGGGCTGCTGGGTCTCAGTACTGAGAGCAGGACAGTCTCTGGGAAAAAACGCATCGTGTTTACTTGTCCTTCCTTAAGGTGCAACAAACTCAAGGAAACTAGTTAAGGTTAGAATTACTATCCACTCTTCAGATTGTTCCTGCAGCGATGGCTTCCTAGTTGTAATGTTTCCAGAATGTGTGTCCCTGCAGCGCTCACTACCAGATAGACACACAATTGGGAATTCACTAAAAACTTTAGATTTGTGCTTGTCCCGTCCCTTAATGGCTTTCCCTGTGTTATTCTCCATCAGTCAGCACAGAGGGGAAGGCTGCTTGTGTTGCTCATGTACTGTTGTATAGTTTCCAGACCATCTCCTCCCTGTCCTGTCCCCTCCGTGAATGTAGCTGTGCGTCAAACTGACAGCGTCACCGGTACTTGAAGTGTAGACGTTTACAACATATTATTTTTGTTGCTGCGTTGGATTGGTTTCTTGATAAGTCAAATGAAAGCTCTTACTGGTGTATCTCATGTAAAGTGTATATTAAGGAGTTCTTTTTATACAGTACTGTACCTTGCCTTGTGCATTTAGGCAAAAAAAGTAATAAATCTTTTTATGAGACAATCACAATCCTTCTGGTTTGCTCTCTTTCTTCCCTTCATGGCACGAGCTGTACAAATGTCCTAATGCTGCAGGTCTTTTCAAGAGGATACAGGGAGTGGGTAGGGAATTGGCTTTGCTGGAGGAGCACTGGATGTAGAGTTTGAAGGACAGTTGAGGGTCAACCAAGTCATCAAGGTTCCGGACAGGCTCAGCGAGATCGAGTGTGCATCCATGGATGTGATGCTGTCAGTGCGTGAGGTGAGGAGGCGATGCCGGGACGCCTTGGTCTTGTTGACGTTCAACTGGACAAAGTTAGCTCTCATCCACTTTCAAAGCCCTCCATGGCCTTGCTCCCCTTACCTATGCAAACTCACCTACCCACTCCATCCGCTCCGCTTAGAGGGCTCCCGCCTGCTTCACATTCCCCGCCTCGCCCACCATTGGCGGGCGGGCCTTCAGCCACTCTGCCCCACCCTCTGGAACGCCATTCCACAATCCCTCCACCTCGCCCCCTCCCTCGCCACCTTCAAGACCCATCTCACGACCCTCCTCTTCAACTGTGCTTCAATTGCCCTCCTTCCCCTCCTGATCCCAACCTTCAGCTGGGGTCTGAAACTCTGTCCAGCGCCTTGGGACGTCCTCCTGACATGAAAGGTGCTTTACACGTGTAATTTTGTAGTTGTTGCTAAACCAGTCCAGAACAGAACCATGAAGGTTGAGGTGAGGAGAGGCGGTGTCAAAGGCAGCAGAGAGGTCAAGGAGGACGAGGAGGCAGAGGGAGCCCTGGTCACAGATGGACAGAACGTCATTGGTCACTTTGACCAGGGCTGCATCTGTGCTGTGGGCGGCACGGAAACCCGATTGGAGGGGTTCATGAAAGGGAGTGACGGGAGAGGAAGGAGCGAAGCTGAGAAGCAACAACTCATTCCAGGACCTTGGAGAGGAAAAGCAACAATAAACAAGGCAAACAGGTCCTGGCTATCACTTGATTCAGAAGCAATCCTCAGGCCATACAGGGCTCTGGGCAGACTGCACACAGTTCTGCTAATGCTTTCCAACTGTTGCCTATTGATTTGATATGTGTGTCAGCCTGGCTTAGTCGGTAGCACTTTCATCACTGAGCCAAAAGGTTGTGGGTTCAAGCCTCATGTCAGGACTTGGAACCTATATAGTGTAAGCGCTCTGAGACGCTAGCCTGAGTGGAGGGCGCTATATAAGTGCAAGTTGTTGTTGTTTGTTAACACTCCAATGCAGTGCTGGGCGTGTGCTGCATTGTAAAAGGTGCCCATGTATCAGACACTTGCTGACCAATACAAAATTACAACAACAACAACTTGCATTTATTTTACTCCCTTTACATGGGGCAGTGTCTCAGAGGCTTCTCAAAACAAATATATTCAAAACAAATATTTCTAGAGCTCCCGCAGAAAACTGTTACATGGAACAAATTGTACAGCGAGAGTACTCAGCGTGAGTGTGTGTGCCATCCATCACCTCAGGGAAGGTATTTTATTATGGTACATGGCTTCTCTTTCTAGACAATCAATTGCAGATTGGATTTCAACAAAGTTGCCATCGTCTTGTCACATTCTGTTAATCATTTAGCAAAAGGCAATCATGAGGAATCGCTTTCAGCTGTCAGGCAGTTTGTAAAATACCAGTTAAAATGTACACACACTTTGTAATAATGTTACGTTAATCTATGAAAATGGAGACAGATTCAACTCACCTTTGATTTCACCAATATTACATAACATCCTGTTCTCCACTTCTATTCCCCTCTATTCCCATCTCCCTCATATAAGATTTACACTGGAATAAGCACCTTCACAAAGCGTTTCACAGGATTTACTATAAAGTGTAGTGACTGTGTTTTTGCAGACGAACACAGCAGCCAATTACTGAATGGGTATTGGCTTGGATTAATCTTTGGATTAATAATACATATCTAACCAGAAACCATTCACATAAATTTAGTGAATAGGTCAGATTTTAGTTTTAATTTTAAAATCATTTGTGTATGTGTATCATAGAATCATAGAATTGTACAGCATACAAGGAGGCCATTCGGCCTATCGTGTCCGTGCCGACGCTTGAAAGAGCTGTCCAAATTAATCCCGCTCCCCACCCCCTGCTCTCTGTCTCCATAGCCCTGCAAATTTATCATTCCAAAATATCTATCAACTCTCTTGCAAGTCGCTATCAAATTCCACCGGCCTTTCAAGCAACGCATTCCAGATCCCAACAACTCGCTGTGTGAAAACATTTCTCCTCCCCTCCCCTCCATTTCTTTTAACAGCTATTTTAAATGGTTCCTCGGGTTACCGACCCACCCGCCAGTGGGAATAGTTTCTCCTTGTTCACCCTATCGAATCCCCTCATCATTTTGAAAACTTCTATTAAGTCTCCTCCTAACCTTCTCTGCTCCAAGGAGAATAATCCCGGCTTCTCTGCCTCTCCTGATAACTGAAGCCCTCATTCCTGGTACCATCCTGGTCAATCTCCTCTGCACCCTCTCCAATGCCTTGACATCCTTCCCAAAGTGTGGGGCCCAGAACTGAGCACAGTCTCGAGCTGAGGCCTAACCGGTGTTTATAAAGGTTCATCATAACTTCCTGACTTGTGTATTCTATGCCCCTATTTATAAAGCCCAGTATCCCGGATGCATTATTAACAGCTCTATCTGCCTGTCCGGCCACCATCAAAGATTTACTATATATGACCCCCAGGTCTCTCTGTTCCGTTAAGATTGTACCATCAGCTTATATCGCCTCTCCTCATTCTTCCTCCAAAAATGCATCACTTCTCATGCATTTCTCCACATTAAACTTCATCTGCCCCGTGTCTGCCCATGTTACCAGTCTGTCTGTGTCCATTTGCCGTCTGTTACTATCCTCCTCACTGTTTACTACGTTTCCAGCTTAGTATCATCTGCAAACTTGGAAATTTCCCCAATTATATAAAATCAAATAGTCAATAATCCAGATCAGGAGACTAACATACAATTAGAACAACACTGGCAATCCATATCACTAGTAATCCCTGATATGATTATTTCCTTGTTCCTCCCAGCAATCATTGATCTCTATCATTTCCCGGCTGGTGGCAACACAGCAACTACATCATTAAAGATTACACTCACTTTAAGAGGTGAACAATGCTTTGGCTAATGGAATGTAATTGCATCTGAGGCTGAATGTCGTGTGTACACGTTACACAGCAACAATCACTTTATTACTCAATTACGTTTCTGTAACATCCATTTGAATCCAATTGTTGACATTCTTATTACATATTTTCCTTTTCTCTCAGACTCCTCATGACTCACTAACAGTATTGTTTCACATCACAAAGGAGTTCATGCTTCTCTGTAAATGGCAACCAATACTCGATCATTTTCTTGGGTAATAGCTGCTTTAACTGCTTCGATGGAAAAGTGCTTCCAGGTTGGGAGGGCGATAAGCTGCTGTAAAATTACAATTAATAATAGCAAGTGTCACTTAGTAACACAGCAGTACTTACATCACTTTGGGCTGTGTCGGTGTCAGCTCTAACTTTTAACTTGTTGTTGGACAGGTTTTAGCTTTTTCTAGACAACTGATAGAGGTGTTTAGGAACATGAAAGGATTCAGGAAGATGGATGTTGAAAGGCTATTTTCACTTGTTAGTGAATTGAAAACAAGAGAGTATGAATATAAGAAAGCCAGTCGTAGATGTAAAAGGAAATTGAGGAAGAACTTCTTCACATAGAGGGTGGTGAGAATGTGGAACTCACTGAGGCAAGCTGTGGTTGAAGCAGAAAACATCAACATATTTAAGAGAACTTGAGGGAGAAGAGAATAGAGGGGTTTAGAGGGTGAATAGGAAGAGTGGGGGCTTGTGTGGAGTATAAACACTCGTACAGACTAGTTAGGCTGAATGCTCTGTTTCTATGCTTTATCACTTGTTGGAATAGACCGGGGGGGGCAAAATACGGCCCTCGGGACATATCTGGCCGCCAAATGATTCTCTCCAGCCCGTCATTGTGTCCAGCAATAGAATAAATTATAATTCGTTCAGTCCCAGAAAGACACACAAATTTCGCATTTGAATCAGACCGGGAACATCAGCCAATCACACGGCTCAGTTGTGCGCCGCTCCCTTAAGTGTTGAATCAGGGCTGACGTCAGAAATGTACGGATCGGCACATTTTCAAACACATGCACGCGGCAATACTTTTCACTGAAGAGGATGTTAATTCGAAATGAGTTTATCAAAGAAGCGGAAAGTGGATGCTGAAGGTAGAATATTCAACAAAGAATGGACTTCTAAATTTTTTTTACCAGTGCGGGTGAAAAAGCTGTGCTTAATTAGCAAAGAAAGTGTAGCAGTGCTCAAAGACTACAAGTTGAATCGCCATTTTGAGGCAAACATGCTTGCAAATATAAGAACGTTTCTGCCGAAGAAAAAGGAAAGAAAGCTGATGAGATGGTTGTCCGAATACAAAAAGAGAAAAGCATTTTCACAAAACAATTTGCGTCCCAGGATGAGATTACAAGAGTGAGTTACGTGATTGCACACAAAATCGCCAAAAACAGCATAACATTCTTTGAAGGAGAATTTATAGAGGAATGTATGGTTGACTCTGCCTCGATTTTATCGCCTCGAAAAAACAGTTCGAGAACTTTAGTTTGTCAAGGCGAACTATTGTGAGAAGTGTTGAGGATATCTCTGAGAACCTGTATCTGCGGTTACAAAATAAAGTAAGCAATTTTGCATGTTTTTCACTGACACTCGATGAGAGTTGTGATGTCAAAGACACAGCCCAGTTGATAATTTTTATTCAAGGTATCACCAAACATTTTGAGCTCACAGAAGAATTGGCATCAATGCAGTGAATGAAAGATACGACAACTGGAGAAGACTTTTTGGAGGCAGTAAATAAGTGTATCTTATTCTCTCCGATCCGTACATTTCTGACGTCAGCCTGATTTCAACACTTAAGGGAGCTGTGCACAACTAAGTGGCTGATGTTCCCGGTCTGATTC